TTTTTATTTTGAGACAGAGTCTCAGTAAATTGCTTAGGGCCTCACTGAGTTGTTGAGGCTGGCTTTGATCTTGCAGCCCTCCTACCTTAGCACCCTGAGACGCTGGGATTACAGGTGTGTGCCACCATGCTCAGCACCAGCCCTTTTTATTTTTTTTGAGACAAGAATCTTACTTAAGACATTGCTAAATTGCTGAATCTGGCTTTGAACTTGGAATCTTCTTCTCTAGCCTCCTAAGTTAATTTTTATATATGGTGTGAGGTTAAAGGGACATCTACCTTCATTTTTTCATGTGTAAAGAGTATTTTTGGTTTTAAAACTTGATTTGGATGTTAGCCAGAGATTTTCTGATCAGTTATCAGTAAAACAGAGCACTCTTACTAAATGCCTTAACATCATTGTTTTTCAGGTTGATAGATTATTTTGTCTACTAATTTCAGTGATAAAAAACTGAAACTGATTAAGTGGCTTTTGTAGACTTCAGAAGTCATTTCAAAATAGAAAACCACCCAATTTTATGTTTAATTGATCTCTTTGCTTCTTTTAGGTGTGTAGTATGCATGTGTGATTTTGAGTCAAGGCAGCTACTTAGAGTCTTACCCTGTAACCACGAGTTCCATGCCAAGTGTGTTGACAAATGGCTTAAGGTAAAATGACAGTATCTAAAAGGAAATAACACTAAATTTTCTGTTTTAGTGATTATAGGTTCATTAGATAAGTCTGTGGTTTAGTGGAGGATGGGTATAGGATATAAAATTGAAATACAACTTTGAGAGTATTCTCTCTTCAGATGAAGAGAAAAGGCCAGTGAAACTTATGGGTTGGGGATATAACTTGGTGGTAGAACATGAATGAGGCCCTGGGTTCCATTCCCAGCACAGGGAGGATGGGGTTGCTATGGTGATCAACATGGGAGTGATTATATAAAACCTAAAAACTGGCTATCTGCCCTTGATAATCAACTTGTCCTGATTTTCTGATAGTATATAAGGATAAGACCTGAACTTGTTAGGCCAGAGTTTCCTCTTAGTTTAGAAGGGTGCCTCACTAGAGCTCCCTTCACTTTTAAGTTAGTTATTAAATATATCTAAACTGGTGCTGGATAATTTTGTTTATGTATTTAAACAGACAATATTAAAAAATCATTTATGGCAAGAAGCTGAGGCAGAAGGATGGCAAGTTCAAGGCCAGCCTGGGCAACTTAGTGAGACTCTGTCTCAAAATTAAAAAGGGGATAAGGGTGAGCTGGGGATGGAGCTCAGTCCCCCAGGATTTAAGCCCCAGTGCTACCAAAAAAAAAAAAAAAAAGATCATCCATGGGATAATCAACTCTTTAAGGTTTGTTTTCTTTCTTTTTTGTTTTAAGGCATGATTACTTTGTGCCTCTTTAAGAGAACAAAGTGTCTAAAACTTGTGTTGGAAGTAAAAATAGTATTATTTGTTTTTAATAAATTTCGTTGTATGAATCACAATGCAAACAAGTTTCTCTTTTGTATTTTAGGCAAATCGTACTTGCCCAATTTGCCGAGCTGATGCTTCAGAAGTGCATCGGGATTCAGAATGACCAACCTAAGAGCACAAATTTAGTTTGGGTGTTCCTCATCACATGTATATACGGACTATCCATTGAACTTAATCTGTGTGGCTTCCAGCCCTCCCTTTACCAAAAGGGTCAATGGACCTTTCTTTGCACTGTGTGACTTAATCAACTATAAAAGCTTACAATTAGTCTTCACAATTATGGGATTGTTATACTAACCGTGTGATTGGAACTCCAAAGAATTTTTCTTTAGCTTAATTTTGTGTGTGCACTAACATTCCCTGGTTTTTTGTGTGATCATTCCGAGTGTTGCTGCAAGATTACAGTGGACGTGATCTTTTAGCATGTGCTTTTATAAAAAGTGGTAGCTCCAGATGATATAGCAATCTACCTTATATAGAGCCTTCAGAAACTGTGAGTGGAAATGAATGCAGCGTATGACTGTTGATAAATGTTTTATCTGTGTGTGTGAGAGAGTGTGCAACTACTTGTGAGAGGGCATGGTAGCTAACGTGTGTATGAGATCCTATATACCAGCATGTACCAAGAATGTGTGTGTAGTTTTATTATGCTGCAATGTATAATCTGGTGTGTTATTTAAACAGCACTAGTACTGTACACTGGTTTTTCCCCTTGTGTTTGCTGTTGCACACTGGTTGCTAAGGGTGCATCAATTATAAGCATTGAATACTCCATCCCTTCCTCCTAATGAATGGAATGAGAAAAGCCTTCTTCCTTTGCTTCAGGCAGCTGTCACCTTCTCTTCATTGGTGGTCCTAAGTGGGTCACTTAAGAAAAAAAGTGTAACAGATTCTCACTCCATGAACCTGAGTTTTGATTCTGTTGTGGAAAAGAAATTTTTTAATCTCCAACTTGCTGTTTCCAAAAAGAAGGTGCAATATCATACATCATCTGTTAGCAATATTAGCATTTCAATCATTGATTTGAATGTTGATAACTTTTTTCTTTTACATTTTCAGTAAGCTTCTTACAGAAAGAATCTGTGATGATTTTTTTTATTTTTTCTTTATATAGGTGTGTGTGTGTGTGTGTGTGTGTGTGTGTGTGTGTGTTTAGATTTATAGTCCTTTCTGAAGATATATGAGTAATATATTTTTAAGAATACCACTGGTCCCATGAAGTCTTGCCTCTTTGACTTCCACCAGAACAAAATCTGTTAATTCAGCTTGATTTCCGATGTGTTCTTTGTTCAGGCTCCCATAGGCAACTAAATTATTTCAAGAAAACTGTTTTTCTGTTCATATTAATTCACTTGCCAAGCTCCAATTCTGAAAGTTGTCTTAGTTCTTCCCTCAGTAAATGTGCTTCTTTTTGAAGCCCTTGTTTCAGGATGGATCAAGTGCTTTGACAGCTTGTGTTCCTTAGACCTGATTTGCTTTGATGTCTTGCCGCTCTTTTAATTTTTGTTTGAATAAGAAAAAGCTTAATACAACAGATGTCCAGAATACTTGCAGTATAAATGAAGATTTGATTTTTGTATAAAATAATGCTGTCAAACAGGAATTGACCCTCATTGAGTTGATCTGAAATAATACATAGCTGTATTTTTTTAATAGGTTCATTGAGCAAAATTCAGATTGTCATTTTCCCAGCAACATTTAGATTCCTTTCTCATTCTTTTAGTGTATTCAGCATTGTCTGCCTCCTCCTGCAGTTGATGTCATTGCTTTGTTTGCAGTAGCACATGCTACATTATTCTAGTCGGGACTGTGAGAACTTGTTGCCAGCCTCACTCAGCTCTCAGTTGGCTCTGAGTCAGTTTTGTACTCAGACAGTGTTAACTACTTGTTACTGCCATGCTGCTTGCCCTCCCTTGAAATCTGTAAGCTCATCACAGCCTAGAGTTCTGTAAAGTCAATTCACACAGAAGCACAATTTTGTCCTCTTCCAGACACTGTTGCCTCTATCTAGTCATACAAATAGGATTTTGCATACTTTGCCCCTAGATTTGTCAATGCATCAGAAATGCACATGTTACTGTTAAATCATTAGGATAATTCCCTTCCTGTTCCTGAAGAGTAAAAAGTATGTTAAAGACCAAAATTATTGGCATATAATAATCAGCTACATACAAATCACGTATAGTTTTATCTTTATTTTTTTTAATTAAAAAAATCATGTTTAAAATGGCAAAAACCCATCTTATAGACTTCTTTTATATAGCTACAAAAATTTATATCTGTACAGATCTAACATAACACTACTACACTCAGTATTCATTTTACTGAAGCATGCAAGTTAAAGCACTTTTTCTAATTTATATAGAGATACCTAATTAACAAGGCACATTATACTAATGACTTCAGGAGAAGTAGCTTTTTCTCCCCTTCCTCTGACTATAAATTCCTATTGTAATGTCCCTTTTCTAGTAAATTTTTGAGAGGCAGTTGGCAATTTAGGAGGCAGCAAGGTCTGAATTTAATTGTTGCACTGTTGTGGCTGATCTCTTGGGGAATGCCTTGTCTTTGCATGGAGCTCTTAGAGATGTGTCCAGACTTGCTTACCAAGTGGTTAGTGCATATTAGGAGCACAAGTGTGTGTGTTCTGACCAGCTCAGACTAGCCACAGTGAGCAACTCTGTGTCTAGCATATGAGAAAGAACAGTTGATTTCTTGCCCAGCTGTTACCACTGGTGATGTGCCAGATTGCAGGCAGATATTGGTTTGTTGCCTTTATCCTCTTTCCTCCTAAAACAACATTGGCTTTACCATCTTAACTCAGCTGTGGGTTTTTTTGTGTGTGGGTTTTGGTTTATTTGTTTTTTGGTATGAATTGTCATGTTTGGTATTGTTTTTAATCCCCACCCCCCAAAAAAACAATTCAAGGCCTCCATGGATCAAGATCTCATATTAAGGATTTTTTGTCCTGGGGAAAAAAAAAATTTTTTTTAACCAAAATCTGGAAAATGTGAAAGTATATTTAGATTTTATATACTCTCTGAAATGTGATTTAAGATTCTTAAGTTTGGGCCTCTTGTAATAATTTTGAATGAGATCTACCAACTCACTTGTGAGTATATTTTTCACAGATATCTTTAGGCCTTCATTAGAAAGCTATTTTCCCCCTGTTGGTTACCTCATTTTGCTATTGTTTCAGATTATGAAAGCTACAGGGGTGTCTGTTGGAATCATTTGCTGAGTCATTTCCTCAAATCATATTCCATTGTATCAGTTAACATATAGTTTTAAATGTACGTATTATAAATATCTGTAACCAAATCATTTGAAGGCTTGATAAATTTTTAACAAAGTTTGTACATTTTTTATGAAAGTTACTAGTAATGCTTTACTAAGTAGTGCAATGAATTTTTATTTTTAATCCCTGTGCCCAATTTTGGAGTTGAGAGGGTTGTTGGTAATAAATGTATGATGTACACTTAAAACATTTGTTGTTTCTTGTTACTCTGAAAGGGGAGGGGAAAGTTGGGTATGCAGAGAGAGTGGGTGATAGATGGGATTCCAGCAGATAGAAGTGGGTTGAGCTACTAGCTGCCAGATTTAATTTTTAAACAGTATTTCAGGTGTTTCAGAATTGGTGTAAACTCTTTTTTTATTATTATTATTAGTTACACATGACAGTACAATGATCTTGACAATTCATACATTTGAATCAAATGGGGTATAATTTCTCATTTTTCTGATTGTACAGGTTGCAGAATCACGTTGGTGTAAACTCTTAGAAACACAAAAAATATCTTGTATTATAATGTATGGTAAATATTTATATCCTTTAAAAAGCTAAGAAGATAGCAGAAAGTGTAGCCACAGGTATGCTCTGTGCATATTGAACTATAGAAATAGGTAACCATAAGGTGCAAGTGAAAAGATCACAATAGGTAATTGAGCAGCTGTGTCCACATTAGCTACAGTTACTGTCAACATAAGGGAAGAGCCTTTGCTCGATTTTTTTTCCTCATTTTTGCAACATACTTGGGAAGAGTATTTGTGTCAGGTTTTGAGTGTCTGAAATGGTAAACTTGTGTTCTCTTATGGCAAAGGCGTTTACTACACTCTCTGAATAAGGGAGGGGAGGTCCATATGACTTGAAAACATAGATTATTATGACCTCTTCTTGTGAGAACATTTAAAAGCCAACAAACAGTCTCCTGTCGTGATAATGACAGTCCTGGAAAAGAACTGCCCTAGAAAACCACCAACTCTCAGCACATATTTGGGGACGAAAAATTAGAAGCCTTTAAAATAGGCCTAGGTCTCTTATCTCAGCTACTCAGAAAGCTGAGGCAGAAAGAGCAGATGTTCAAGGCTAGTCTAAGCAACCTGTTAAGCCTGTTAAGACCCTGTTTCAAGAGGTCTGGGGATGTAGCTCAGTGTACCCTGGCATGAAAAAATAACATTAACTATGGACATCATGATTTCATTCTTGCCAACTCATTTCTCCCTTTTACAAGTCTTTTTAAATTTTGCTCTAAAAGTAGATTTTGATAATATTAAGCCACAAGCATTCCATATATGCTGCTAAGCATTTTTGGTTACAATTATTAAATAGATCACAAACCACTGTTTATACTAAGGGATAATTTTTTTATAATATTGTTTTACATTTATGATCCTAGGTTTTAATCCCCAAAAGGGTCTTTTGCATTCTTGCAGGCTTAGGGTATTGTGCAATAGTGAACACAAATGGCTCAAGTGGGTCAGTGTACCATTTGTTTCTGATCCACTGAATAGAACCTCAGTTTATATTTGGTGGCCAGACTAGCTGAATGGGAACTGTGACAGACAACCATTTCTTTGGTATCCCCAAATCTCAAAAAGACCTGACATAAATAAATCTAACAACCTATCTGTCTAAAAGGTTTAGAATTAAGATGGAAAAGGGGGACCTTTCTTGAGTACATGAATAAAAGCATTATCATGGTCTAAAGACTGCTGAACTGATACTGATGTTGTGTTGAAGACAAGGCACACATCAAAACTGCTGTCAGTTCTAAATAATGGAGCAAGTTCAAAGACAAATTCTAATGCAGAACTCCTAGATTGAATTTTGTACCGGCAGTGTAAAAAACTATAAAGGACATTATTGAGTCCCAACAGACAATTGTAATAGACCATCAGTTTGATCCAAAGTATTAATCTTACTGTAGTTCTGCAAAAGAATATTCTTAGG